AATCATAAGACTCCCAAGTTTTATGAAGGTCTAGCTTAATTTCACTTTCAATTTGATTCCTTAAAGACCCCGCCAGGGGGTATTACATAAGGGGTGGGTTACAATATATACAACAGGTTGAACACTTTATTATAATTTAAAATGTGATGTGATCGCTTCAATGAAGGCAATAGGGCTCTAGTTAGCGATTTCTTGTGTAAGGTCGTTCCAGTCCTTGGCTGCTCGAGGAAAAAGAGAAGATGCAAAGGTGACTATGCGAGCTTCAGGGCGGGCAACGTTTAAGGAGTGACCAATGCGATAGGATATGCGTGATGGTGGCAAAATATACAGTGCTCGATTTAGTGCGCTGCGGTAGAATTTATGCAATGATGACAAACTAGCAATGTGGCGTCGATTATAAAGTGTTTGTAAACCGAACTCCGATGTCAAGGATGTTACGCTGATATCGTATGAAAAGGCGGAATGAATGAAACGAATGGCACGATTCTGAGAAGCCTCAAGGGCGTTTGTGAGGAATATCTGGCGAGGACCCCAAATGGCTGATGTGTATTCTAGTTTGGGCCATATCACTGTTTTGTAAGCTAGTAACTTGACATTCTGTGGAGCGCTTTGTAAATGACGTCGTAAAAACCAAAATGTTTTGTTAGATGGTGCAATAACGTTGTTCACATGCGCACACCAGTCCAGATTATTTGATATCATCATACGAAGTATTTATATTGGCATAGGGTATCTAGTTGCTGGTTTGCTATTTCATATTTGAATTTGAACGGGTTAGGACTGCGAGAAAAGGACATTAATGACGGATTTTCGCTTTTTTTCTTTTTTTGTTATCTTCCCGAGTAATTTTCATGTCTCACAGCGTGCTGATTATCATTAGCACTAATTATCGCTAAGAGCAGTACTCTCTAATACCAGTGCTATGTATCTGTCGAAAGCAACTGCTGCGCACAGTAGAACGAAAAAAACGGGCAGTTAGACCAAGGAAAGCTCTAGGTACACTAATTGTGTTTAGTAGTAGAGCAGCAATTATCATACAAACAGAAATTATTTACGTGGGTGACGAATCAGCCTTTCTCTAGTTGAGATCCCGACCCGCCTCCTAAAACTGCTATCATAACGCCGAAGTGGTGTGCTCGGGAAATTTCATTTTACTTCGAGCGAACATGAATGCAAAACTACACCCCACCTTCGCTACGGCACGTTTTAGAGCTAAACCGTTGTCTCAGGCGACCACCTTAGAAGACATCCACGAATGAACCACGCTCGTTGACAGCCGAGAAAACGCGCTGCGTGCAGACGACACAGCCTTTTAAATCGCAGAGTACGAGGCGCAGTGCATCACAATGCATGAGCTCGCACACGGCTCAAAGTAAACGGCGATGAGTACACACTAGGTATCGTTTTTTTATCTATGTGGACAGCGGCACTGATTCAAACGAAACTGTTATCACATGCATACTATTGCTTTGGTTGTCGAAGAAGCCGATGTACGCCACGAACACCATGGTGCTCAGGTGAGTCGAAAAGAGCTCGCCTCAAAGCGCTGCTTCACCATAGCACAGTTCTAGTACTGCCCTTTAACCGTAGAGTCCCCGCTTCGGACACGCCGTACTCGGCACAGACAGCGCAGAACACATTCGGTACAAGGAAGGCCGTAGTGTTGTCAAACTTTAGTGGCTATGCCCTTGGCTGCAATTCGTTTGCGTCATACAGTTCCGTTGAGATTACACGTATAGGTGTTCTGTCATTACACCGTGTTTGAGAGCTCCTTTCCACATTAGGTTAATATAGCATAGTCAGTATATTAACTCTCTGGCTTTCCATATTTGAGTGTTGCAGACAACGTGGGAGCATTTTCGCCAACACGCATGTTAAAAGGCCGGTACGTGTGATAGTCCCTTTTCCAGCTTTGTGGGTGGCGTGTTATTGTCGTTATGGCTGGTCCAATCAAAACAATGCAAAAAGCGAGTGATTTGTGTAAACACGTGTTAATATCAACGTTCGCACTCAATAACTTCGCTCCGCAAGCTTGGACACCAAGCTAATACTGAATATGTGTAGCCTTTTGTAGAGGTATATCGTTAAAACTGAGCATTGAGAGCACTTTTAAATTGAGCGCTAATTTAAAATGAAGCGTCCTGTCGAATTTGTAAAAGCTACGGGAAACATTTTACCTTAGTGGTAAATTTTATTAAGTTCTTCCGAATAGAAAGTATATTGGTTAATATAGCTATCTAGCAGCCATGATACAGCTTCTCAAAATGTTCATTAGTCTAGAAACAAAAACTGCACCAACATCGGCATTCAGACGCAACGTAAACATAATCACATGGCCGTCTCGCGCTGCAGTTTCGTTCTCCGAGTTTTTTGTTGCGAAGAACGTTAATACCAACCACAATGGGTAGAGATCACGATAGGAGGCACTGTCACAAGTCCAGTCGCAAACGAAAGCATAGCGAAGACCGGGGCGACAGCGATCGCAGCAAACACGGACGACGATGCAGCTCGTCGTCGAGGTATGGCAGTGACGATCACGGAGATCGCGATGGTGGCCACAAAGAGCCCGGCCGACGGCGCAGTTCAACCAGACGCGACAGTGGCGACTACCCAGATGACCGGCGCAGTGCGATTAGAAATCGAAGTCAACGAGAACGCTCACCGAATGACTCTCTCCGCGTCCAACCGACAGCAAGGAAAAAGAGTCAAACTGGGGAACGGGAGAATCTGTCCCTGTTTCGGCATGAACTTTCTCGAATATTTTTTGGCGACAACAGTCCCATCAACAGGTAGGCCGATGTTCTTTAACGTGTTCTGTATCAACGCGCCGACCGCCACGGTGGTGTAGTTGGTACGGGGATCGACTGCGTTGACCCGAAAATCGCGTCACCGAAACCCAGCTGCCGCGGCCTCATTTGAATGGAGGCGGATTGTTGGAGGCCCGTGTACTTAATATAGATAGCCACAGCACAACAGGTTGTCCAAGTTTCCGGAGCCCTTCACTAGGGCGTCTCTTATAATCGTAACAATTGCATCAACGCGTGCTCTCAGCCTGACAATTGTATACAGGCTGTTTTCACACTTACGGGAGTACGCGGAGCGCGTATTGCATTGTGTTCGTAGTTTTCGCCACATGTGCGAAACAGACTGTGCTTCACCAATACGTCTCAGAAAGCACGCCCATAATACTGTCACTACTTGGGAAGGTCCAGCTAGTCGCAGCTGACGCGTAATTGCAAAAGCAATAGAAGAGGCGAAAGCTCCAATTACATTGCCGTGAAATCAGCATAAATATTGATATAAAATACAAAAGTGGTAAGGAGAATACAAGCTCGTATGAACTGTATGCGGTAACGTCAATATTACTTCGAAAGTTGTTGATGGGCTTCAAGAAAGATTGTATATTGAGGTACGTATTGGGTTAAGGTCAGGCAGATGCTTGGATGATCATATATTGTGCGAACCAGCCCACATTTATATTTCTATGGCTCAAATTAAGGCCATAGGTTAGCATTTTTAGATATCTTAAAGGAGGTTACAACTTTGACTGTGAATAGAGTAGATATTCTCAAAAAACAAAGCTTGAAGACTTTTGTGGGGCAGCTAAGAGAAATATATAGGGACAATTTAGTGCAGATCATGTGGGAAGGCCGCAAAAGCTAAGGAACTATGAAAAATTAGCCAAGCGCTAATGCAAGGATGTATTCTATCTGTTAATTGTTGCTCAAGCTAAGAAAGCAACTTGGGGAGACGTTTTGCGCTTCATAGATCTGTAAAAGGCGTAGTTTGCAACACAAACCCACGTTGTTTACAACAGAGACCCAAGGTATGTTTTGTGTAATATATGCCACTACAATGTCGCTTTTAGTGTGTGCTGACTGGCCAGTTGAGGGTAGTCAGCTTCGGTCATTGAACGTCTGAGAGTCTACATCATGCAAACAACATCTTCATTTAAAGTGATCCTATCAGAATGAAGCCCCTCGCCTGGTGCGTGCAGACAACCTAGCTTTGCTGGCAGGTTATCTTGCAGGAATATGAAAATGCATCTATCTGGTCATGAAACCAATATATCTAAGCCTCAATACAAGCAGATTTCATTTGTTTTTGCACATTTGATCACCAAACCCCTTCTCGTGGCAGTACCGATTTATACAACAAATTTAGGTGCTCCCTTCGTTGGCTTCTCACTAATTCGCATTTAGAGAAAATGTCAGGCCCATGAACAAACAGTACACCGACTCTGCTATACCTTAGAAGATGCATTAGACAACGCACATCTCTGACTACTAGAAGAACTTTTTATTAGCCCGTGCCTTTGTACTAACACTGTGTCTACAATCCATGTTCTACGACTTTAGGTAGTAGACAATACTATATGTACAGGCATAGGCGATCGCAGGGTTCCTCTTCAGGGGCACCAAAGTGGGTCGCTGTGCCCCCCCCCCTCCCTATCATGTCAATGTATCGGGCTGACTTTTATCCCATCCTCTTAGTATGTTACTAGGTGGGGGACACTGGTGTCTATGGGAGCTGCAATGCACACAATTCAGCCAGCATGAGAACTATGAGTAGGCCACAAATTTGTCTGATATTTGCTCTTTCAGATCCATTTGGCCTCACAAAGGTTGAAATTTCTTTGTCGCAAAATAACGATCGGCAAATGTTCAGCAGTTGCACTTCACCACCTAAACCTTTTAGGCCCACTAATTCGAATCAGCTCCGGAAGTTCACAACGGTTCGTTCTTTTATTCCAAACAAAACCAGAACACCACAATAAACAAGGCCACAAATGCGTTCGAAGCCGCAACCACGAAGACTAGGCAAACTTGTGCTATTTCATACAATCCCGAGGTGGCTGAGCGATCGCAACGCCAAAGGTCCCTCTTATGAATTGTCCTTGACGCAGATTGCGTGCCCTCTTGCTTTGCAGAAGCGTTCAGTGTTTGTTTTTCGCAGGAATTCTAAGCAATACGACAACTTCTGGACGTTCCTCAAGAAGTATGAAGAGCAAAAGCAGAAAACTGCACTTGAGGCTGGCAATTCACAAGGTATGTGCTTCTCACTTTACATTATGTGGAGGAGAGTCATGTCTACAATTCTCGGTTGATTCTTAGCTAAGTAATGCTTCTTCAGCAGTAACTTCTAGATTGACTGCTTGATTAAACACTGTGCTTACAAAGAAGTCCGTGTGCTTTTGTGTGTTACTATTACTCTAATTTAATTTTTTTACTGCTGCTATCAACTCATAGGCATCTTATGCAAGTAATTGTGGTTATGTATAATTGGCTTTGGTGTTCTTTATGGGCTACGGTCTTCATGCATAAAATTTTTTCCTGCATTCAGCTGGCCTGAACTCTATTACACTCTAAAAGAATGATGAAAGGCTTCCTAAGACATGTTATCATTTAATTGTAACGATAAAGCATGCGTCATACTGGAAATGTCATATTTCAAAAGAATATAAGACGTCTTTCAGTGTGGTATGGTTGCTCCACTTGTACGAAAAACCAGATAATGCTGAGGGTGGATGCCTATCAATGATGCATCATTATTGTGGCCTTCATGAATTCTTCCATAGATTTACAAGCCTTAAGACACCTCGGTAGCCTGAATTTTAATAAATTAAGATGGGTATCCAAGGACCACAGCTTGAAAGGTATTGATCATGTTGCCGCAAGTTGATAAGAGCTTGGGCTAGTGGGCGATTGGGAATCAACATATTTGCACAGCACAAGATTACGAGTAGTTACGACGTAACTATAGAAGAAAGAAGGACAGAAAGAGCGCTCTTTCTGTCCTTGTTATAGTGTGGTAAAACGACAGAGTACTGAATAGTTAAACGTACTTGGTCTCGTTCGAACTCATATTAAGCTCTGGAATGGTTCAGGATTAGGCCTTAAAAACATTCCTTAGTAGTTCGCGTCCTAACTGCGTACAAGTGCCTAACTGCGTACAAGTGATGATTCGGATATATTGTGGTATGTCATTCTGCCCGGCGTTCCTGTCCGCGTCTCAATGGGATGTTCAAGTGATCATTAGGTAAGCTTGTTTTTGTTGTGAGAGGCTTTCTTCCGTTGTACTGTGTGTTCCACTCGGGGGTTGTGTTTTCGCCACGTTGTGGTAAGCACATACCTGTTCGGCCGGAGCGCTGATTTATATGTATGCCGAATGCACGTAGCAGAAATTTGCCCTGGTTCCTGCAGCCAATCGAATTGTGCTAAGCCTAATTTATAGGCCCAGTTAGAACGTTTTGTTTTTCTGTAGCCATGTGACATCGTCTTTGGACGCGTTCTAAGTCCTTCACGCAAGGGCCACGCGAGGGCCGTCTGTAACGTCACAGTCCGGCGACGGTGCTGTTGGAGGGACCACATTCAATATCGCATAATAATTCCCTCTTAAGCATGGCCATATATTTTAGCCCCTGCACAATTTTTTTTTCTTTACATGACAGTTCGCTCTGCTGGAGACCTTGCTGACCGCATTCTACGACGAATTTTCGAGGTCCAGGCGGTACAAAGTTCCTCTCACCTTCGGAATCAGCGTGCTGTGCTTCCTCGTCGGTCAGCCCTGCGTCACACAGGTATGCTTCCTTGCCCACACTTCTTAGCTGGCCCAAGGAAACACTCCAAAATGCTAAACTGAATTACAGTTGAGGCTTGATTGAACGAACTACGATTGCATGGTATAACAATTTAAACTGTAGATTAACCTCACTGTTCTTCTGAATCATTAGGTTTGTAGTGATCGAGTAGCAGATTAGAAGGAGCCATTTTTATAATTTGACTTCGTTATATCGATGCTTTACAATGAGGCAGACGTTAGACTGAACAATACCTAAGCGCGAAATACGATGCAAGTGTGTGCATATAGGCGTGCCATTTGATGCACTAACTCTGCCACGTTACTTCCCTAACCCAAAACTGCGCGTAAGAGGCCACTTTACACTAAAAATCTTTTTACCGGAAACTCTTAGACACGAATGCCGTAAACAAAACAAGAGATGGCGCATTTGCTGTGACGTCGTAGGCATCTGTCGGTGGAAGTTCAGGTGCCCGCTAGAACTGCTTAGGTCCACCTTCCAAACGACTTCACAGGTATTGGCAGCGTGTATCCTGTGCTAGGTGAACGTTCATTACCGAAGAGGGGTTTTTGAGCAATGCCGTCACCTTGATATACCGGGCATAAATATATGCTCAAAAGATGCATTGCAATATGACTGTGAAATTATCCAACTTATAATCGCAAGCTTGATTGGTGAACGTGCCTACGGCTTATGTTTTCATCGTGACAGAATGTACTAAAACGACAGATCATGTATGTGTAATACGCGAGCCGAGCGTGAAGCCTGCGCGCTGTTTTCCGAGGCACTTTGCATAAAGAGCTGTTTTTTTCGAACGCCCCCACACTGTTGTTTAATTAAGCACGCGGAATGTAATTCTTTTGTTTGCTTTTACTTTCAGAATGGGCAATACGCCCTGAATCTTATGGACACCTACGATGGAGGAGGCGCTGTTCTGTTTATCGCCATTTGTGAAATCGTCGGGCTCATGTGGTTTTGCGGTATGTACAAAAACATTTTCAGCTTATGCTAGAACAGTATGTCATGCACGGCAGGCTATCTGTGCCAAATATATTTTTGCGTCGCGAACGAGCGATACAGCTCGATCATTTTAAATGATTATGCGCAGTGTAGGAACTACATGGTGTGGCAACTCAGCATCGCAGCGTCGATCTCACAATCTACACTGACGGCCTATATTTTCATCGTCGCAGACAGCGCGTGCACGATAGGTCGGTGCTATCACCCACTAAGCCTACCTCGTGGGACATCTGACACATCCAACTATGGGCGTTGGCTGAAGTTTAACTTTAGGGCTGCAAACCTACATTGCATCGCAGCTGAGAGGATGGAGGAAGCCACTGGTGTAGCTTGATGGAGGGGAAGGTGCTGGTGTGGTTTGAAGATGACAAGTTATACGTCTGCACCCCCTGCATGCCGCCGTCTATGCATTGAACACCATCAAAATATTGCGCGTTAAAGACACCTTAAAACTCGAAGAACTGAATACATACATAAATACTTACTATATTCGCGCCACACTCCAGGGTAGTTGACAGCATGCGTGTAATCCTGAAGTTGTAGGTCCGGCTACCGCCAGTGGCAAGTTGGTTTTTCGTTTGCTTTCACTTCTCTTCATCTCGCAATTTCTGCGGTCAGTTTAGCGTAAGTTCCCTCTTGATACTTCCGCGTGTGTATTTATATATGTCACCTTCATATGTTTCAGGTATGTGATGCGACACTTTCCCTTGTGCGTCGAAATTCATTTCCTTCTTAACCTTGACCCATTTATCTTTTTTGTACCGCAGGTGTGAACCGCTTTTGCGCCGATCTGAAGCTCATGCTGGGGCACGACATCGGCTGGTACTGGAAGGCAAGCTGGCTCGTCTTCTCGCCCTGCATCCTCGGGGTGAGTGAACTGTGTTGCGTAATCTTCCTTTCTTCACTGAAAACTGGCGCAATCTCGGTGCTATGATGCGAGATTTTCAATGTAAATATCCCCTGGCAAAAAGTATTCGCAGCCCAAAAATCGACAGCACAAACATCCGAACTGTGTAAAATCCAAAGCGTTAAAAACCGCACTTTAAAGGTTCACACCTTACATATCCATGCCGTAATATCCGCAGCGTAAACGTTCGACATTCGTAGCAAGTATTCCGTCTGCACCCACAGCAGTGTTGAAATAGCAGGGACACATTTTCCATTGGTCATATTCTACAGCATATACGAGTCCGGTTTATCAAAACCATTAGAAAATTTCCCTAAACCTCAAAGCAACCCAACATACAACCAACGCCGGTATTGGTTCCAGGGGAAGACACACTAGGATAGTTATAGCGCGAGAACAAAACGACGATACAGAGACAAGAAAGAAACGAAGGACACGAAAGTCCTTCTTGTCTCTGTGTCGTCGTTTTGTTCTGGCGCTATAACTAGCGTCATGCCATTCCAACTATGCCAAGCTGCCACACTTCTGAGGTCACACTGTTGTGCTGTCGTGGCATAGAATAGATTCATGCAATAGCAGCGTAATAAACGATCAAGAGAGCCTCCGCGACAAAACATTGTAATGTCCTATAATGTAGTTTTATAAAGCAATACCCTGCTGCCACATGAAAACCTTCTGTGTCGTGACCACCGCGCTCTTGACGTCACTGCGTGGTATTCTATCAGAAGAGAAGGCGAAGCTCGAAGAATAAATGTATCTAGCGCTAATTAAAATTTAAGACGCTTTTTATCATGTTAGCACATTTTTTTCAGTTTTACTCAGCTTCAGGAGCCTCCATTTATGGAAGAAAATAAAAATGAAGAAAAGATGTCTTAATTGTTAGAACTCTTTGGAAGCTGACCATTATTGCTGAGACCACGTATGCCGCGCGCATCCTCATCTTCGCAGTGCTTTTGAAGGGTCCCGCTGTCTTCGAAGTAGTTTTTCAATTCGTTTTCTACATTTCTTTGCCCTCGAAGTTTTTGTTCATCTACGGTCTCGTCAAGAACAAGCCAATCATGTACGACGACATCGTGTCCTACCCGACGTGGGCCGACGGCATCGGCTGGCTCCTGGCCATGCTGTCCATGGCACAGATCCCCATCTGGGGCACAATCATGCTGCTCAAGAACTGGAAGGTGCGTTTATGCGATATGCGCGCTTTGTTGCATATTTCCGGTGAGAATACACTTTAAAAAAACTGAAATATAGAACGTGCGTGCACCTGCATTTTGTCATACGTGCAAAAATGGAAGAAAAAAAAACAAACTGCCTAGTTTTTTTTTTTTCAAATAGTTATATGGTTCTCCGCCATGGTGCCTTCTGGGTTTATTTTTTACCACTTTCGGTTTCTTCGCGCGCATTTATATAGCGCAAGCGCAATTACGCATATACCCTTCATCGCAATGCAGCCACCTAGCTTGCTATAGAACCCACGACCTCGTTCTGACTGGCAGGACTCGTTGGCTTTAAACTGACACGTTGACTTAAATGAACTATATGCAGACAAACTAGCGAAGAAAAAAAGTGGATTCCCCTTACATACTTTTGAAGTGCGTCGCATATGTCTACCGTTTCTGAAGATCAATGTAGGCATTTCAAATAGAGCTGCTTATTTATATGCAATCTACTGGAGCTCATGACACAAGGCAATGTATCAAAAATAAAAGAATACGCTCACACTAGCCGATCGACCAGCTAATATTATGGACAACTCGTGTGATAACCGAGAAGTGAAAATCATATAGATAAGAAAAGCAAAAGGGGAAAGAAACGTAACGCGCATATTAGTCCCCAAGCTATCAATCGTGGTTTATGAACAACGCACTGATATTCAAGCACATGGCCAGCACATGGTATCACGCTGCCGATGCGGTATCATAAGCTGTGCCCAAGGCGATGCCTCCCGGGAAATTGAGATAACAACGTATATATGTGTTGAACGTCAAGCTGCGAAAAACTCTCCTACCATTATGGTGGCGGTGATAGATGCTGATCAAAGTAACGTAGAAAAATACTAGCTGGTAAATTTATTTCTTATACGCTCTACAGAGGAATCTCGACGTACGCAACGCGAAAAAAGTACCTTAGTTATATCGAATTTCTGTTTTACAGCAGGGGTCATAGCGTGATAGTATTTGCGAGTATAAGTCAGCAATCGCTTCGATATGTCGAAGAATTCGTTGTGTTTGTGTTCGTTATACCAAGGTTGAAATATTTCTTATCTATTGCTTATCTCGTCTCTTTCCACAGAATCCCAGAAAGGCATTCCAGCCAGAGCGAAAGTGGGGCCCCGGAGACCCCGTCGAGATGCAGCTCTACCACGCCCATAACGGCGGTGTGACGAACCTCGGCTTCCATGGCAGCGACACCTACCGCTACTGATGAACCAAAGACGTCCTTCGTATGCCACTAGCACGCTCCCACTAATGCGGCACTGGCTGCGGCAATAACCATATAGGCTGAAACACGCGACGTCTATTTTTAAGCTGGGCTCCCGACACGGTACAGTTTTGCCACACAGCGATAATCTTCGACATTCTTGTGTAATGATGAAGATTATCACATTCACGACTGCGGTAAGGTTATTACCAGAAACGCCAGTTTCGTAATTCGTGCGTTCTGTATAGCGTTCCTGGCACTAAAAAGCACCGGGTTCGCAGCGCTCAATTGATTTTACACACCCACCAGATTTATTAGAATATTGGATCCGAGAAATCGCATTTGATTTCATTATCTCAGCACGTTCGAACAATACGAGAGACTATTGTCATGCAGTAGCGTTCCTGGCACAAAGGTAGTGAGCACTGAGTGCGCATCATCAAAGTATTACCACATGCTCACAAAGCATTCCTTAAGAAAAATAGCAGTCGCAGTATTAATGCGCATTACTAATGAAGATTGCCACTGTGTGACAAAATTGCTCCCGAACGAAGGTGTAATTTATAAGAGCGAAGGAAACGGTAATCGGAAAGACATGTAATCATCACCACTGTCACAATGTTGCTCACATCGGATGTTGCACCGATATCATTCACAAAAGCTCACACATTCATTGAAGGCGACGTGAGAGACTGTGTTTGTGTAACAAAACTCTGACGAACACGTGGCATGTTCGTAATTGTCTGTCGCGGGCTTTCTGTACATAGTCTACAGAACGACATAGTGTGCACTTGTCTGAAGTGTAGAGCACCTCCGTGAGGTGTTCCACGTTAAGCAGAAAAGAGAGGAAGAGGTGCGGCGATTCCGTCCCTATAGTGTACCTGAATTCACGGTAAATGCACTTCGCTTCACGTTGATTTTAACGGCCAAGTAGCGTGCGAGTCTTTTGTCGGGGTCCCACTCTCAAAGCCCATCATGTGCGACTCCGGACGCAAACAAAATGTGTAAAATGTGTGAAGGTTTCAGTGCTCTGGATTCACGCACTTGCATTTTTAAAGAAAAAGAACATATTGCGCCACAATGTACGTTTTAATGTGAACGTTTTCCGTAAATTATCAACGTGAAACACGATTCCGTGAAACGTTTCCGTAAACCGTCCACGTAAAAGCTGCTTCTTTAAAGCTTTCCGTAAAACTCATGCGCTACCACTTCAGTGCGGTTCCCTTTCTGTCACTTGATCCTGCATTTCAGCTACGACGTTTATTGGGGCGAATGTGCGGTGGCTTCCGGTTAGGAGGCAACAAATGTGATTTCTCAGGGCACCATAGTGCATCTGCAGGCTTGAGACATAGTTCTGCACTTTAGCAGTGGAATCAACGTAAGCTTTCCAATCGATGTCGTTACTTATACCACTTAATAACTTTTCATCGTCGCGTGATGTTCAATCAAGTGCCCACCATCAGTCAGTCACGTTTCCCTTCTGTGCGAACACATTTTTTGTACGTTATACTTAATTATGCACGGTGCGCCTCATCATGACGAATCATTTGCATTTCACGTATTTAATTGCTTCGTCCATGTTACTTGTACTTATCGCGATATTTAGTCTGCGCTGATCGGAGCACGGAGTGGCAAGGGCTCGTACAGTGCTGCTCCAACGCCGCAGGACTACTCTCTTGCCCGTTCTGTACTAGTCTGTGCGTTTTGCAGCTGAAGCCAAAGCCAAAGCCAGCGCTTGAAGCGGTTATTATACTGACTCTGTGCTCCACTGGCCATATCAGTTTTCGGTGTGTTTCTATCTGTTTTTACCCATGCGAATCGAGATCATTTTTAGCCTTTAAGTGAAATTTCACCTGAATTATTAGAGACCTCACTGTTCGACGAACCTTCTCATCGCTAAAATAAGCTGGGAATCGGAAACCTACACACATCCAATGGACTGCTGTGTTTATGTACTAATGAGTGACAAAGCACATCACCCTCATTACGGCACCTTATTTGACTTAGGTTTCAGTACATTGGATCATGTATTCGAAGTGTTCCAAATCGAAGTCCTCTTACAATTTCACATTGAAATTCAGTGCACCCGTAATGTTGCCTTGCGAAAATCGCCGCAAAATTGTTTATCTTGAGGCAAAAGCGACGTTGATTCTCCCGTAACGAACAAGTTTCTTGTTTAAACGATTCTTGGCATTTCGCCAACACGTACGCTGTTTTTACACGTTTTCCGATGTCCTGTCGCACGCAGGTTCACGCGATTCAGCAGCTATAGGAAACACAAGTTTGATGTAAGTACATAGATGTAAGATATGCATGTCTATTGACCTATTTAGTTTTTTGTGTTTGATTGCCTTATAGAATGAATTTTAATGGTAAATAAATTGTGTTCCTAAATAAATTTCTTGTGCATTTGCCTTCTTTCCTTGAGTTGTATGCATTTAGAGATTGCAGGCGACAAGGTGTCACTCAGAAATGAGGCAAGCGCAGCAAGTCATCTATAGAAGGCAACAAAGAATAAATACATTCTTTTCGATGGTTTCAAGGGACGTCCTGGAGATCCATGTTTAGACACATCATACAAATCCGAGGTGTTTGACTTGTGGCATGTTTTCTTGCAATAGAAATCATATGGATACGCCAGGCTTCTTTTTGCCGTCGTCGTGAGCACCCGCATAAAGTCTAAAGGTTGATGAAGGCGCCTCGTGCGTTGTGTGCTCTACGCGAAATAAAGCTTGCGATGACAACCGACACAGTCGCGGCTCAATTAAGGAAACGCGACGGCAATCCTCCGCATGGCATGAAAGGACCACGAGAGCGTTTCAGGTAGGTGGAGAGGAGAACTGCATGGTTAAGTCATGTATACGGCACGTAGGTTCGTGGAAAAGCTCTACGAAGCGTCAAGCTACCCCTGCAGAAGGAAGCGTGACGATTATTCTTATTAAACATCATCTTCTTCCTCTTCTTCTTCGAGAGAGAGAGCTTACAAACGGGGCCCCATCGGAAGAGCTGTCCGACCCCGACGATGCACTCACCGAACTACCGCAACGCTACAACACTTACGGTCAAAGCCATATGTACTTCCCACCACCGTACAAATCGCTCAACCGAGAGTGCGCTGTTGCCTGGCGACAGCATCAGGGTATTCATTCCCCTGCCCTTACATCTTTCATCTCTTCGACCCCACACAATAACCCTCATACTGCCGCTATTGTAGAACGAAGTAGACTTTTTCCGGCAACAGTGTAGCACCACCACGCATCGGATGGCATTGGTCGCTCAGACTGCCATTAGAATCTAGTGACATTAACACCTCCAGTTTTATTAGTCCACTTGCACTCTTTATTTCGCCATGTTTCCGCAAGTAGGTTTTCGTACGCTCCTTAGAAGGACACTAAAGTAAAATAACAATTTATGTCAAAGTGAAAGCCCAATGCATGACATCTAAAACGACAATGTTATCAACAACAGTGTCCTACTTAGAGAGAAATGGAGGTAAATAGACAAGAGCACAAGCGCCGCAGTGAAACATTCTCAAAATGATCTCGATGACAACAGAGGAACCACCTACAATCAACCGAGAGTGTGCTGAGTGTGCTGGGCGACCTGCTTTTCAGCTTCGTTACGTAGAGCTCGTTGTTCACCACAGGAACTATTCTTATGATCCTTTCGCGGGCATTATTCGCGAGACTACTGCACATTCTCACAGTAATGGCAGCGGATTCCGCATCGAAAATGGGGCGCACTTGACTTCCGATCACAGCCATGACCTTCACGCACGTTCATTGCCTGATGCCGCAATTTTGTCCCGTGCGCAGACATTGAATGCCTCCTAATAACAATCAGTAAGGGGAAGTGGCAGCATCGCATCACGTTCTATTTCGGTGCTCTACACGAACATCCGCAGTATAATAAGAAAGCGTGACGTTTTTGACGCTATTATCGATTGTTGTGAAGCCGACGTGATTGCCGTGACCGAGACTTGGTTGAATGCTCATGTTTGCGATAATAAAATTGGTACTATTTCCGAATCGTTGAACATTTACCGCCGCGATAGAGATGGAAGACAAGGTGGTAGTACTTTGCTTGCCATTTCAAAGCGTTTCAAGTCCTTTCTTATAGACGTGACGTCCACATTGGAAGTGATATGGTGCGGGTTGGTTGTGAATATAAAAACACTTGTTCTTGGCATCTGTTACCGCCCTCTAGATACAGATATCGGCTTTGTTCAGGAGTTTCACGATAACATAATGAAATTACAATGCGGTACCCATCTTCTTCGATGACTATTCTCGGCGACTTCAACTGTCCTACCTTAATGTGGGCGTCATCGTTACCAGACTTCGTACCATGTTCTTCAAAGCCCAATGTTTTCTCGATTCTTGCAACCTGTTTAATTTTACGCAGATGGTAAATAACCCAACTCGCGTCACCAATTCTTCATCGCACATTCTCGACTTGATTCTTACAACAATGCCCGACAACATTCATGCACTAAACTCACTTCCTGATCTCAGCGATCACTGTCTGCTACATTTTACATACGCAACAGCATGCCAACTGCTCCTGAGAAACGTAAGGTTATAACTACAATGCTGCAAACTTTGAGGCAATTAACTCCGAACTCTCTCTATTTTATGACGCTTATCTACATGACTTTTATAATAGAACCGTGCGGGAAAACTGGGATCTGTTTGTTAACAAAATCTACGAACTTACTCGCACCTTTGTTCCCTTAAAGTCTATACCTTTGAGCTCTTGCTCACCCTGGTACAATACATACTTAAAACGACTTTCTAAGATAAAGAAACGCTTGTTTCGTGCTGCGAAACTAAAGAATATGGAGGAACGCTGGCGCTCCTACGAGAGTGCTGCGCGAGTTTACTCGTCAGCAGTTTCGGATGCTAAGGCTAACTTTTTATGTAACACTCTGCCATCAATGCTTGTCAGCAACCCTAGACAGTTTTGGAAAACTATTATAAATACCAACGACAGTGACATTGTACTTGTTGACTCGGATGGCCTTCCCGTATCTTCCGAGATGTGTGCAGCACGTCTGAACGAAAATTTTGTCCGTAACTTTTCAGTATCGTCCACTTTGGCTACCGTCTCTTTACCAGCGCGCAACTATCCATCAACGACTGTTATAGTGACTGAGGCCCATGGAATTGTAAAACTAATTGAATCACTCAGAGTGTCCTCTACTTGTGGTGTTGACAATATAAACGCAAGAAACCTTAAAGAAACTAAGCATGCCTCATCTATGCTCCTGTGTAAAATATTCCAACAGTCTTTGAATGGAGGTGTGGTGCCACGCGTTTGGAAAGAGGCAAAGGTGGTTCCGCTGCACAAATCAGGAAACAAGCATTCTGTTACTAATTACCGACCTATTTCACTTACTTCTATACCATGCAAACTTTTGGAGCACATAATCTTCTCTAACTTGGTCACCTTTCTAGAATCAAATTCGTTCTTTAGCATGTCACAGCATGGATTTAGGAAGTCATTCTCATGTGAAACGCAGTTACTTTGTTTTACCCATTCTTTACATATCATTCCAGATCTGAGTTCACTGGTCGACTGCATTTTTTTTAGACTTTTCGAAGGCTTTTGACAAGATTAATCATCACCTACTACTACATAAGCTTAGGACCCTTGATATTGATGGCGGCATTCTTGCTTGGATCGAGTTTTTCTTAGTTAATCGCTCACAATTCGTTGTTGCTAACAACTACAGCTCACCCTCTTTTCCCGTTACTTATGGTGTGCCCCTGGGTTCTGTTTAGGGCCCTTTACTATTCCTTATTATTATTAACAATTTACCCGATGTTGTAACTTCTTCGATTCACCTTTTCGCCGACGACTGCGAATTTTACCGAGAAATTTCATCTAACTCGGACGCTAGTTCTTTGCAAAGTGACATTAATATTATTGCCAGCTGGTGTACCACTTGGCACATGCACCTCAACACTAACAAATGTAAAGTTTCACGTATC